GGATCAGAAGGGATGGGTCTTGTACCAATAGGAAGATCTAGAACAAGATGAACTGACTCCTCAGTCAGTGAGATTACCTTTCCATCATGAACAATATCACCAGACTTGGGATCAACTAAATGCGCAACTCAGTTAACAAAACTATTCGGCACAAAACATTTATCAAACAACAACAGAGAACCAAACCCATAGCTAGCAATGACAGCCTTCTTCTCAGGGGACAAAGAGGAAATCACATTCATAAAAGCTGTAGCCGAAAATCTTGTGAATCCCTCCTTAGACTTCTTTACAGATTTCATCTTCTTAGACTACAATTATATTCAAAACATCAGAAAACAGGCAATCCACAAAAAGCTCTGAAACACTAACAACACATGAACAACATCTGAAAATAACAAGGAGGATTACTAACCTTATGCCTCAATGCCATTTTCAGCCTTCTCTTTATATTCCTTATCTTCTCATACTGAACAAACAACAAACAATTTTAGTAAAAGAAAGTAGTAAAAAAGAAACCTACAGAGAAAAAGACAAGAAGGGAAAAAGGACAAATCCATACATCTTTCAAACACTTCTCATACAAATGTCGATCAAAACTTGAATTGTCACTGGAAGAATCACCCTGCAATCACCAACAAAAAATAACTACAACAAAAAAATACAAAAAAAACTGAGTTACAAACAGAACACTCACATCTGAAACAACCTCAGTTTCCGAAGCAGATTGATATGAATCATAATCCATATAAGTTGAGAACATTGAACATCATCCAAATCATCATTTTCAGAATCATCAGAACTAGATAAATCAACAACACCACCAGGCCTTTTCCGAACCATCTAACAAAAAATTAAATAAATAAAAAACAAATTAAAAAACTAATAGAACAAAAACTAATGCACCAAGCAATTAGACTGAAACACACTACATACTAAACAGATATAATATTCACTAATAGAAATCAACAACCTAAAGAAAAAATGAGAATATAATTGCAAGCATTTGAGACACACTGAACTTAGAAACCGGAATTGGTACATTCAATTCAAAACTTGAATAACAAATTCAAAGAGAAACCAACTAAAAGATCAAGAGAAAATCATCAGAATTTTACATAGGAAATCATGAAGAAACAAATATGAAAAAAACAAACTTGAATCTAACAACAGCAACATCCTACTAAATCTTCACTCATTTAAATCCTAAAACTCTGAAATGGACTAAGACTTTGTGAAAGAATCAGAACTACTATGCTAAACACATAATAGGGGAAAGGAGCAGAATTCAGATAGCACATAAAAAAGAAAAAAAAAGGAAAAAAGGAAAATTAAAGAATAACTAATAGAGAATATGCAAAAGAACACAAGTCAGCTGTAGCAACTATACGACACACTACTATACAAGGGTAACATCACCCCAATCTTCTCCAAAACAGTTGTAGCAAGACACTGCAACATTTCTAAGACTCCAAAAAATAAGAAAACAACCATTTCCAGCCCATAAATAAGCATACAACTGCAGTCTAGGGAAGTAAAATATAAGCTACAAAACAGGTAACCTAGTCTTAAAAACAGATTGATCTTTCATCTTCAAATCACTGCAAGAAACACAACACACCATCAACTAAAAAGCCTTTGATGATGCATCTTCTAAAAGGAGGTAACAACCAGTCATGATGACAACTCACAGAAAACATGCTAATGTATTTTTTCTAAAGCTAGCACTTGTCACAACTTCCAGTACCCTAAACTCCACACTGTTCCCATTTTCCACAACATGGCCATGTCTAACAAAAATACCATACAATTCATTTCATAACCATAACCTATTAACATCATTTTCACAAACTGCAAAATACTCAGACTACAAACAAAACCATGGTCAATAATCAAAGTAGCCCACAAATGATAATGCAACTTCCAAAGAAGATAGAGAAAATCAACATATTCGGCGACGAACGACTAGAAAACAGCAAAACAAGAATGGGGAGACAGAGGAAATCTACGTGCTCTAATCTCGGGCATACCCAAATAAGCACAATAATATGACAAAAGAGGAGGCATCCACGGTCAACCAAAACAATAGCGAACAAAGAGAAATCAACTAAAAAGAAGTTATACTCAAATTAACCTGAACATGAACTTACCTAAACGAAATTTCTATCCATCAACCTCTATTGAACTTGGACAAAAACTATTCTACTCAACATGAAAGACAAATTTTATTCTATTGAACTTGAACATAACTAAAACTGGAAATAAGATCTACTAAACTAAACCTAAAATTACAACAAAAAAATTCCTCTGGCAAACATCTACATCAAAAAATCAATCTAACATCAATAATCTACCCGTCATAACAAAACAGAAATGGCCATCATCAATCAACTCAGAAATAACCCTACCAAACATATCTACTCACACCATACATCATTAAGCAAAAATACGTAGCAGCACACACTAGGCAGCAGAGCTAGATCAAAAACATGACTAACTCAAGAACAAAACATACCTCAACAGTCCCTACAAGTCGCCAATAGCCGAGCTAGTCGCCACCACCGGAAAACACCAAATCGAATGGAGGAATAGGAGAAGAATTGAGAACGCCGAAAACCGAAAATGACGACAACAAACCCTAACAAACATAATCAACTGCAGCAGAACGAACATACCTTGGCAAACCCTAGGAATCGAGCATGATCACCCCAAACGCAGCCATCGGTGCAGGAAGACGAGAAGAAATGAAAACATCACAACAACATCAAAGAATGAAAACAAACCCTATCAAACATCATCCAATGGAGCAGAAACCAAACATAACTTACCAAAACCTAGCAGGCAACACAAATTCGCATGCACGAAGACGAGAACAAATTAGAACGGGGAGAAGAAGAAACAGCCAGAAACAAACCCTTACATGGAGCAACGGCAAACAACGGAGAATGTCGACTCACCGAGAAAGAACTTGATCTACTAGAGCACAAGCAGCGTACCTCGTCAAACCCTAGCAATCACCAACGACGCAGAGCGCCGAGTCGCTAGGATTGAGATGAAGTGAGAGGAGAAGGGGAATGGGGAAAGTGGGAAATGGCAGCGAGTAAATCGGCACAACTCCCAAAAAATCAAACAGTGCGGCACAGACAACTCGACCCCACATGTCATCGTCACAAAAGCCACAGCAACGGGAAAGCAAACGCCAAAACAAAACAGCCAGATTGGATGGTCCGCAACAAAACAGAAGCAGATCCGATGGTCAAAAAATGGATGCCAGAGGGAGCCAAAACATCCGGTTGATGGATAGCAATTTTGTATTTATTCCTCTGAATAATTGTTGGTGAGTTCGAAAAATCCATGGTTTTGTAAGAAATTCTTGGGAACTCTTGGAGATGCTCTTATTTAATAGTTGACAGGGAATCAAATTGACTAAAATTTTCCAATAATATTAGTATACTTCCAATTTTTCTAGTACAAGTAATGTGAAAAAAAAAATATTCAAACATTGTACCTCAAACCTCATTGACATGGAAAGGGAAAACAACCCCTTTTGTGAGCATCTCCGAGAGTTCCCAAAATTCTTTCCTAATCCTTGGTTTTTAGCAAGATGAGAAAAAGTCATCCTGTTTCGCGTAAATTTACGCGCTTTCGAATCGCGCGTATCTTCTCTCTCCTGCCCGTGTTTGTCGGTCAATCTAAAGGTGAAAGGGCGTGGAATGAATAAAGAGTAGGAAATGGTTCTTGATGCAAATGTATAATATAGAAAGAATATATAAAAGTGGTTAGGATAATTTAGAAATAGTATAGGATTCCTGATGTAAAATTATCTTATATTTTAGGAGTGCATTATTAGAAACTTTTGGAGATGGCTTTCTTTATTCCTTTTAATATTTTTTTAGGAGTTATAAAACTTTATGTTTTTAGGAAGAAAATATTGGGTACTTTTGGAGATGCTCTTAGCGATATACCCGAGGGATTACATATATTAGAACCGATTATTGACAATACTAATTAACATCAACTAATAAAATACTTAAATGTTAATAGCATGATTGACATGTATACATGTCACTGATTTAACATGGCAATACATACGTCGTGTCGTGTCTGGTCCGTACATCTATCAGTCCGTCCGGCATGGCACCTTCATATTACCCATCGATTTGCTAGCTTGCTGGTTGCAAAGATTGCTCGGTGGCTAATTTTTCAGCTAGTTTTTTGTTGTGGCATGTCTGGCCATATGCACAGATCCGTCAATTCATCAGCTAGGCTCTTTTTTCTCGGATGACTGATCGATACCATCGTTGCTTTATGCTCGTTCTCAGTTCAGTTGTTCACTCGCCATCTCACATTCATTATAAAAAGGCTTTCTGTACGGCTAAACCAAACTGAATTTGCAAGTGCGCTACTCATAGCTAGTTACCAATAGCTTTAATCTGTTAAATGTGTGACGGATGATTAATTCGATGAAGAAAAAGCACGCAGGAAAGTTGAGAGTACTACTTTCACACACCTGCTGATTTGAAAGTGAAGTGGCCACGGACAGAGAGAGGTTGTTGTGACATGCTGCTGCTCATATTGATCGGAGTCGATCGATCGTACCAACGGATTCATTCATTCATTATAAAGGCTGTGTTGCATTAGGTACCAAACAAACTAATTAATCATCGTTGTTGATATATAGAAAGCTTTATTACGAGATAATCTCCAAATTTGGTTATTATAAAGAATTTTATATATGAGGTTAATTATACGCAAAGCTACAAAGTAGGGCCGGTTGCGCAGGCTGCGGCTTACTACATTACATGGGTCCTTCCCTGTACCTGCACTCGACCATTTGTAGCCTTCTTTATGTTGTGATCTGCGGACTGATGGATCACTCCTGCCGCAGCTGCAGTGCGTCCCGGCTATTCTGTTCCTGCCTCTGGCGGCTTCCCTATCCATCGTCTATTAATGCCTGCCTCTGTCTATAGCTCCAGCGCTCGGCTTAGACAAGCCTCTCAAACATGAAGGTCAGTAGTCCTAGCTACCTTTAATTTCCTCCTCAATCCTGATGCTCATTTCTCAACTTTCCTTAATTTACCACCCTGCGTAGCTTGCTAGTATTTCAGGCGAATGGTCTCCTCTTGATAATTTGGAAAAGAAAATGATTTTCCCTTTTCAAGTTCTTGAATCATTGCTCTTTTCTGTAAATCTCTCTACTTTGTACTTCTTCAGCGATGATCGTTTATAAATAATATAGGACCAATGCAGCTGTAATCACTCTCTAAGCCTCCCTTCCTCTGAATTCTTTGTTCTGCGGTTCAATTAGTTGATTGTTAGGCAACAAAACTCTGTTTCTGAATTATGATCTTTTTTTTATGCATGAATGTATGTATGATCAGCTCCTCGGTTGGATGCACCGAAAGTTACGACAGAATAGTAATGATGTGTTCAAAGAGTTCAACAACGGTGGAGGTACATTCATCTGATCTGCCTTCTCTCTCTCTCTGCCCTCTTCCTTGCATCTTATTGTTTAATCTGTTCATCAAACATTTTCTCTTATTCCATTGGCAAATGGGCTTTTCTAATCAAGAAGAGAAATGAAAACAGCCTTTTCATGCTCATCGTCTTTCAGATACTATGATTGATTGATCATACAGTATGGATAACTGACAAGCTAGCTAGGACTATAGGAGCCAAGCTAGCTAGGACTAGTTTTACCATATCGCTTTGAACAAGCATAACTGACAAGCAGGCACATGTGGAAGCTTAACACATTCCTTCTGGGGTCCACATGTCAGCTACAATTCGTACATAGTAACTTCACAACGCTAGGTTTAAACCCAAATAGGCCCAGTAAGGCAGTAACATCAATAGGCCAAGTGGGCTGTGGGCCTTTCTCCTTTGCCCGTTTGCCATTTTTAATTGTATTTTTTTACTTCTTGAGAATTATGATGCACTTTCAATTGTTTATCAAAGTTATCGTGTTATAAAATGCTTAAAACTGCTATATGTTAGTTATGTATGGGACATAATTGAGTTATAAGTTGATCTTGCTCTCTTTAGTCCAGCGCCCCCTATATATTTTTTCTAGATCCGTCACTGCTTGCACTTTTGCTGTTTGTCACATTGGACTGGACATGGCACATGCCAATCCTTTCAAGCTTAGTCTAGCTCAACAGTTTCACTGCAAGCAGCACCCCCATATCATCATATTTCTAGATAATATTTCTTTATAGCAACATTGTCCTATATGAAGGTATCCTCTTTTTTTTTTGCAAGGAATATGTTGCAACATTTTTCACGTTTTTTAGACAGACACCACATGTTGATATTTTTGTAGCTTTGGTGTGAGCTGGAAAAATAATGTTAGGATATCCAGTTTGAATTTACATATTTATTTAACAGAAGCTGTTCATATGTAAATTTGACACTGATTACCTTAGCTGATATCATACATATTCAATAAGAAATCAAAATCCAAATTTTGGTTTTAATTTTTTTGTGAAGAAGTTAATTTCAGTTTTTATCTTACACTGTTCACAACAAGTTTTTTTTCCCATTGCTTTTGTTTTTAGAATGTAGAACAAAGTGGTATTCCTTTTTGTGTGAAATTGTATAGGAATATTGTATAATACTGTATCTTCATAAGTTACCATTTTATAGATACTTGTTACTGCTTATTCATAATTTGCTTGAGAGAATATTATGTAGCATAGAAGCCTCACTAGCGGATGCCTACCACTAGGTGAATAGCATCATTTCTTATTAGAAATAATCAAGGAAAACACGATCACTTATACCACGTCTAGGTCTCAGACTCTCGAACCTAGGTGCGCATGTTTCATCTATTCTACTCCTTCACAATAACAAAAATAAAGTTTTTAGTTGTCTGAAGTGAACCATATTAAACTTCAATAACTACTTCTAAAAATGACTAATTTTCAAAAGGTAACAAATTTGTAACATAGGAAAGTTCAAGGTAAATCTTTTTTTATTTCTCTTAGAAGAAAAAAAAAAGACAAATCTACTTGTATGTTGTATCCCTACTACCAAGTTTTAAAGTAAACACGAAAATTAGAGTACTATTTTTTGTCGAAGTTTGAAATAGTTGACTTTACAAAGGAGGGCATCGCCAAGTCGAAAGTACCAAAAAATCACCATAAATCATTTCACAAAAACTCAACAAGTTAAACACAAACCTTACTAACAAGTATTTCACTGAAGGTGGGACCTGCAACTGCATCACCGGGCTGGACTCACCGGACCCGGCCACCTTCCTCGCCTCTGCCAACGAATACTTCGCCGGCGACCACCACTTCACCAACAATCACTCATCGCCGCCGGACGCCGACCTCTTCACCTTTGGCGGCAGCGGGCTCCTCACCATTGGCACTCTAGGCATCGCCGCTGTCGCGGTCCCAGCAAACGCCGACGACGATGATTACGATGTCGACGTCGACGTCGATGCAGACTCCGACTCTGACGACAACGACGACACCGCGGATGAGGGAGACAAGGTCGACAGCGCCGTGACGCCCACATTCACATACACAGCCACAGCGCCGCCTCCGCCAGAGTCCGCGGCGGTCGTCGAGAAGGCTGCAGTCGCCGTGGTCGAGGCCATTGCCGAGAAGGACGACGATACCACCACGGAGGACGACCTGATGGTAGTGAGTGCGGAGCTGGAGAAGGTCCTCGGTGGCCGCAACAGCGGCGCGTCCGGCGACCTGGTGGCGTCGGCGCGGGTGAGCTTCGCCATGGGCGGCGTGGACTGCCCGCTGCAGGGCTTCCTGTTCGGCTCCCCCGTGAGCGACGCCGAGTCGCGCCTGGAGCAGCCGCGGGATAGCAACGGCGGCCGGCGCACCTCGCTCGGCGAGCTGTTCATGCGCACGCGCTTCGCCGACGAGAAGGTGGCGCTCGTCGCCGTCGAGGAGGGCGAGGACGGCGGCGGGGATGGAGCTGCCGGTGGAGAAAGGGACGACGGGAAACCAGGGAAAGGCTGCGGCTTCCACAAGACAATGAAGAAGAGGAGGGTGAAGGATGAGAAAGTCCCCGGCGGTGATGGAGCGCCGGCGAGTGCAGCGGTGACCAAGAGTAAGTTTCAGAAGGTACGACCATCGATTTATCTCTCAAGTTATGTGTTTTGGACCTTTTTTAAGGGAAATACAATTCTCTACTATATATGTACAAATTCTTGATCTTGAATCATCCTTTTTAATTTGGTTGATTTTATTCAAAATGTTGATAAACATTGGGTCTATTTGGGTTGAAACAAAAATTTGCAGTTTTTATCAAGTATAAGTACAATGCTGGGAAGAAAACACAACTGAAGCCAATCAATTGCACGTGAATTGTATAAGTACCTGCTCCATTCTCCTTCACGCACCGTTCGGTTCATACGAAACCTTGTCCAACCGTTCCTAACAGGAATGCTAGTCTAATTTATATAATCTTTGATGGGCAGAAATCCTCTAACCGAACGAGCTCTTAGGCTTCGTTCAGTTTCATAGGAATCATTCCCTGTAAAGATTTCTAGCAGAAATGATTAACTAATTTATATAAGCTTGATCAAGTGGGAATAGTTCCTAAGACTCATTCTAGGCTAACCAAACAAGCCCTTAAGTGTCATACACAAAGCTGGCAATAATTGTAATCTTCATATCTTGATTGCTAATTTGTAGAAAAGTTTTACATATCTCACATAAATGATAGTAATTTTGCTATATTTTGATAATCTTATTAATTGACGTGGCATGACCCAACTAGTTGTTTTTTATTTTTGTTCTCACAATGGAAATAATTAGCTAGTTGCTCCAAGCCAATATATATATGGTTTCTGTGTACCACTCTCTGTCCCAAATTGTAGGTCGTTTTAGATTTTGTAGGTACATATAGATACACGATATATCTAGATATGTACCAAAAGTTATATATTTAGAAAAGCCAAAACAATCTATAAATTGAAACAGATGGAGTACTATTTTCAAGCAAGAGTATATCGAAACCACAAGAATGTCCAAAACAGGAAGGGGGAAAGAATTTTCTAGAGCTTAAGCAATCATGCATATCCGACAATCTTTTTTATGAAACATCCACTTATGTTATAGATCTGGCACACCAACTAGGACTAGAAGTCAAGTTGTTGTTAGAAGTGAGGGTAGCGAGTCGACACACCCTTTTGTTTGCAATATCCTGTCGACACACCCTTTTGTTTGCAATCTCCTGTCAAGTGTTATCTTTATGGCTCATTGCATTTGTCATGTTCCATAGCCTCCAAACAATTGGACTTGATCTGACAGAGACTTTTTTTTTATCATTGAACCTCCCTCTCTCTCTTTCTTCTCTCTTACTATTATATATATAAAACGATTCTGTGCATGTATGTATTATGCAAGTCCCTATAATAAGATAATCTCTGGAGAAATCTTTTTTTTTTGTTTAGTAATCATTTGAAGAACCTTCTACTCTTTTCAAAATTCCATATAATTGGTGCCATTATATTCTTGAATTTACAAATTGATTAGATGGTGGGTTTTTTTTCCATTTTGTCGAATTCAGAAAAATGATGAGCCAGTTCTGAAACAGAGAGGCATTAATTTTGCTCATTTGCAGATCCTCCAAATCTTCCACAGGAAAGTGTACCCTGAGAGCGCGGCCCTGGTCCGGAACCTGACCAAGAAGAGCCGCAGGCGCGGCAGCGGCGCCGACGAGCCCGCCGAGCTGGCGTCGTCCAAGCTCCGGTGCCGCAAGGAGCAGCGTGCGCCGGGGTTCGGCTGCTGCGCCAACTGCGCCTCCTTCGGTGGCGCCGCTTCTCCCATCCACCACGATGACGAGGAGCTCAACGGCAGCAAGAGCGGCCACTGGATCAAGACCGACGCTGAATGTGAGCGCATATCCATTTCATTTCACAGCACATACGTACACCTTGCAATCACAGCACAGCACATATCTATCTCATCCTAATCCACCAATAATTAATCTGCAGTCGCAAAAAGCAGTCTTGACAGAGAGACTTTCCATAATGTTATCGGCAAAGAATAGAATCTTCAGAAGCTATCAATTCAGTTTGACTGCGCCATGATGATGCATGTAGCCTGCCTTATACTGTTTACTGACTGAACATCTCTTTTTCTCTGACTGGATGCAGACTTGGTGCTGGAGTTATAGAAAGAGAATCAACAAGAGAAAGTCAGAATCTGTTGGCTGGTCAATATCAAGCATATATATTGAGCATGTTGATTACTTATGTTTGTGTGCTTGCTTGCTCTTCACAAAAAAAAACTTTATATATATACATATATATTTGTTCATGTCACTACGTACCTGATGGATGAGTTGTATGTGTCCGTCTATCTATAAAGGGGAAAAGGACTGTGTGTGAATGTATGAACTTAATGTATGGTTTGCATCAAGATGTGATTGCTGCCTCCTGCCTCATGGATACTCCTATAGCTGATGATAGCCTTCTGTGGGTGCATGTGGGGGCTTAGGCACTTGGCTCGGCCGCCCCCCCCCTAATCATGCTGCTTCTTGAACTCTTGTTGGTGGCCTGATTGCAGAGGAATATCCGGTGACAGGGATGGGCCCCTAACAACAATTGCCATTTCCCGCAATAGGCTGGATGCAGCTTTGATATGCATCATTATTCGTATGGCCCATTTAATTCAGATTAGGAGCTTATATTCACCATTTCAAAGACATTTGCTTGTGTGCATGATGAATTTGGCCAGGCAGAGGCAGGGGTACATTAGATTACAATCCATTGTTCACTGACATGTTTGTGCAAGAGTCTAAATGGCATATGGTTTTTGACACAGTGCGTGATATATGACTAAATCACTGGAGTTACCTAGTGGTTTGGTTGGGTTGCATGCATGATTCCTGTGCAGAAACTATTCTCAGGTAAACATGATCAGCAAAAACCTTGTGTATGATGAGAACTTGCTTCTGGGTCGGCTTGAAACTGTATGAACAGATAGCAGGTAGGCTTCTAGCAAGATCCTAATAAACTTCAAATCAAAACCTTGTGTGGTTTTTCACCATGGAAACTGTTGTAACGGTAGGTTAGGTAACCATATTATTAAACATTTTTTATTGAGATTTGTTACTGCAAATTTTTTTTGGAGCACCAGAAAATTTCTCAGTATAATAACATGTACAGCTTCAAAGTTCAAACAAAATACGCTATCAAGAAGTATTGCAAAGAGAATCGAATGAAACTAGTTTGATACTGTAGCCATTGATGAATTTTTCTATAAGCTTGGTTGAAGCCGATTGTAATTTGGGATAGAGGGACTAAAATGAAAAAAGTAGTTCATTATGTGCTCATTATGCAAACAAATAATTGTATTAATGAATAGACTCTGAGATCATATACCTGATTCTGCGTATCGTCTATTGTGGGACTTGTTTTTTTTCCCGAAACAACTATTGTGGAGCTTTATCTTTTATAATAACAGCAGAACAATGTCCACTGGAAGGGAAGAATATCTAACAACTGAAACATTTTCTTTATGTAATTATGCATGATTGGCTCACTGGTTCACTTACCCATAGTGTCAACTAGAACAATTGTATATTTTAATATTTGCACTAATATTGCTTTGAAAATATACCAAAAGGGAATAAACAAAATATAAGAGAAAATATAGACTCCACTGGGGACACTTCAGGAAAATTTACACCCAACCACTAAGCATCTCACTGTGCAGAAAATATATGCATCCATCCACGTCTTGAACTCTGAGACCATAAACTTTGCATTCACAGCACAGTAAGTTATAATCCAGCAGCAATTTTGCAATCACATGCATGTTACAAAATAAAATCTTGACAGTGAGATGCTTAGTGGTTGGGTGGTAGTTTCGATCTTCACAGTATTTGACTCCCTTCAATGATCGATTCCTTCTCCATGAAAGCGCAGCGATGTTTTAAAGACAATCATTTTGCCTGAAAACTAGCAAAATACAATATCATAAAGAGTGCAAGTGTGCAACGAACAAACCAGATAATAGATAGAGATTTAGCAATTTCTTACTTGTAGGGAATTTTTTTACCAACTTATTATTAGAGGGCTATTTTTATGATTTTTGCAAAAAAATCGGTTTAGAGAGTACAACCTCTTCTTGGAGTTAGTAGTGTAAAAAAATCAATGACAAATTTAGGATCATAACTAATGAAAATTGGATAAATACTATATATTACACTAGGTTAATTTTATGCTAGATATAGGTAATTTAATACATATATGAGGGTCACTTAAGTTACTTTTATGATGGCAGAGGTGGGCAATAATTATTATCAATGATGTTGGAGTTTATTGAATTGATGACTTGATGTTTTTGCTTTTGCAAGAATTATATAATTTATTTTTAACAACATGTGCCACAAAAAGGTAAATTTGAGCGCTATCTCCTACTCGATATGAATTTGCTCGGCGCTTTGTATACTCAAAAGTCCCGGACTGCTGGTACATACCTACTCCCTCCGTTTCTAAATAACGTTGATTTTAGTTTCCATGCCGTTAGTTTAACTGGATTTGTAGAAAAATACGTGCAACATTTGTATCTCCAAATTAATTTATTATGAAAATAGATTCAACGATCTATCTAATAATATTAATTTTGTACTATAAAAATTAATATTTTTATATATATTTAGTCAAAGTTGTTTCTCGAGAAGCGAAAATGATAGTTATTTAGGGACGGATGGAGTATATATATATATGCAACACCACTTGCAATAAGATCGGAGATCAGCGATGTTCTTTTTCAGTGAACAGTGTTTTACGACTGATATGCATCATGGTGATGGTAACATGAGAAGAAATCATCAATAGAATCCTGGCCAGTGCTTAAATACACTGCATCTGGATGGTGAATGGATTTTTCTCCAGCAAACAAGGAGTCCAGCTGGTGGCAACACGTTGACCCCCAGAAAGATAACTTGAAATGCTTGTGTCTTTTTGAAACACAAATGTGACATGCTTTAATTCGTATTGCGTGGGCTATTGTTTATCAAGTTTATTTTGAACATAATTTATATACAAAGGGCTTATACACATGTACATATCCTGACTACTATGAGCACATGCACCACAGTGGCGGAT